GATAAAAACAGCTTATATGAAATTTTTTAAACTTTTCGAAAAAAAAATTCAAAATTCAAAATTGTACACATATGTGACCATTGGGCTTTTAAGGAGTCAAATAAGGGTTTTGTTGAGATGATAAAAATATTTAAAATGTCCATGTTTTTTCCCGTTGAGACCTGTTGTGCACAAATGTGAACATGGATTAAAAACCCTTCAGACCTGATGTGCACATATGGGTACACCCGGTTTTTGGGTTTTTTTACGAGTTACATGCATTGACACACATTGCAAATATATTCAAATGGTAAACAAAGGTATTATTTCATTGCAAAAAAAAACGGAGATTTATTCGATTTCAATTTTCATATAATAATTACAAAATTGTATCCCTTACCCGGCAGTTGGCCTTCCATCTTGGAATTTGAATTTAAATGAATGATTTCTCTACCAGCTTTGATAGATATGGTATAGATGGCTCCACAAAAATTTAAAAATATTGTACACAAACGTGTACAACGGGTCATAGGATGTCTTTTCAGTAAAAATGTATTTAAAAAAAAACATCAAACGGAGCGTACACAAATGTGACCAAAAGGTCCTAAAGGGTTAAGAATTTTATTAGCTTGTTTACGTTTAATTTTGTTTTCCATACATTTTTACCAGTGCTTCCAAAGTAACAAATATTTATAAAGGTATTCAAATGAGTTTATAACTCATTTGAATACCTTATCAGGGAATGTTTAAAATCGAAATGTAATGTAAAGGTGACTTGTATGTATTAATAATTACTATTCAGCCTGTAGTGTTTATAATTTGAGTTACTGTTCCGTCCAAAATAATAAGAACAATTTGTATCGAAAGAAAATCTTTTTGTTAAAATTGTATTGTTCATTGTATATTTAGAGCTTGGTCTGAAAAGGGTTTAATAATTTATTAATTAGTTTGTTATTCAAATCTTAAACATTCAAGTTCCTAATTAGCTGTGTTATTAAATTATTAATTCCTTAGACAATTCATACATAATTTACATTTTTCCAACAATTGAAGAGGTCGGGGAAATAAGGAACCTAAGCCTCAGTGAAAAAATATAAAGTAAGCAAGGTTTTTATTTAAACTTTGTAATTTATTATTTTGTTATTGTGAGTGGATTTAATTAACCACTTAAATTGCAACAAAGGACATAATTATGTTAACTGTTTAAAAGATTGTTTTCTTTTTATTTTAAAATACTGCAGTATTTAAATGAAAACTTACATTAATTAGAAATTTAAAAAAATAATTATCACTATAAAATTTATAATACGTCGATTTTCTTTTTCAATTACGCACATTTTGATGTACAATTTTTATATTTTCCGCCATTTTGTAAAATCTTTGACGTAATCGGCCATATTTTTTAAATTGCACCCCGTCTTTTTTTGAGATTCGAATACCTAGATTGTGAAATTGTAATTTCAGCAATTCACATTTATACGTTTTGGAGATATTAAATATTAAAAGTGGAAAATTTATAGTTTTTAATAATGTTTTTGATTTTTTATGGTTTTTATTAATAGTTATTTATGGTACTAGTGTGTTATTTTGAAAATAAGTCACGCGAGAAATATTTTTATATAAATTCTTAAGTGACTTAGGAAACATAACACACGAGTGGGATATAATGTTTTATCCAACAAGTGGAAGAAATCGTTTTTTTATGAGATAATAATTAATAAGCTTTGTGATCAAAGCTACTTGCGTCTTAATACCCTATAAATGTCAGAATGACTTGACAGTGACTTTTTTACATTTTGGTCAAAGTAGATTGTTTGTTTGGTTGCCACGGGCATGATACATTGTTAGCAAATGTTTAAATAAATTTTGACACTTGTCAGTTTTCCCTGAAGAAAAGGGAAGCTTTTTTGAAGAAAATACGAAAATGGAGGAAAAAGATGAAAATTACTTTACTGAGGATATCCTTACGGAAGCGGAAGAAGCAGCGATGCAGATTTGCTGCGAGATAGGATAAGGAGTTCAAAATGTTTGAGTCTTGGATAAATTCACGGAAGATAAAAGGTATCGATGAAAATGTTCTATTGGCTTATTTTTTACATTTGCAAAAAAAAATTAGCCCCATCGTCGCTATGGACCAAATACTCGATGCTTCGCTCGACTATTCACCTTAATAAAAAAATCCACATTTCAAAATATGGCAAACTAACGAGCTTTTTGAAAAGCAAATCACGGGGATACAAACCAAAGAAGTCCAAGACATTAGAACGACCTGAAATAGAGAAGTTTTTGAACGAACTCCCGACGACGAGTACCTGAAAAAGGATTTCCCTTTTTCAACCCGATCAATTTGTGTAAAAAATACATGTCTTTGAGAAAAAAGAATACTAGTTATATAACTAGTATTCTTTTTTGTTTTTTACAAAAATGGGAACGAACTCCCGACGACGAGTACCTGAAAAAGGATTTCCCTTTCTCAACCCGATCAATTTGTGTAAAAAATACATGTCTTTGAGAAAAAAGAATACTAGTTATATATAACTAGCCGCTTTTTTGTTTTTTACAAAAATGGGAGGTGTACCAGCCAGTGTGTGGGAATAAATACGTTGTTTTTGAAATTGCGCTCTACACGGGGTCACTGCCTGAGAAGGTCTGACTACTTTGAAGCGTCACGGAGGATGGAAGTCCTCGACGGTAGCAGAAGGTTACCTAGAAGAATCGGTGCATAAAAAAATAAAAATTGCAGAGAAAATACAAGGTTCTAATGCGTCGGCGTCTTCCAGCACTATCAGCAGCTGTAACGATACGGGAGCGTCTGGTTCCAATGAACCAACGAATTTTACAATGATTTCAAATTCGAATAAACCGTTAGCGTTTTCCTTTAATTTTAATATCAATGTGAATTCTGCTTGTAATAGTAATAAATAAATAGAATACTACTTTAAATATGAACGTGAGTTATAATCCATAACTCATTAGTGAGTTATGGATTATAAAACACTAGTGTGTTATTTGATAATGACAGTCATAACTGTCATGTGTTGAATAAAAGACTTTAATGAGAAAATTAAAAAGTGTTATAGAAGAAATGTTCATAAACTTCATTTCAAGGTCAAACTTTTGGGTATTTCCGCGAAAATCAGATGTGTTATTTAAAAAAATATTAACTATATCGGAAGTTAATAATTAACTAATTATTAGTTTAATTGCGATGTAATTTATAACCTTAAAATATTCGTACATTGTGATGCTAAAAACCTAACATTAGGAATAAACAAGGAAGAGTTTCAATACTCGATAAAATGTTCAAATGTCGCACCCGTTACATTTTGAGAAAATTTTAGAAAATAAAGTTTACAATATTTGTGCATTTAAAATAGGTACGTCCAGAGCCGGCTTAAGGTAATTGAGCACCTTAGGCACTTAAAAATTTGGCTCCTCTATTTAGATACTATACTTACGGGGCCCTGGGCAAATTTTAAAAAAGCTTATTAAAGCCATCCCAAACTGTTAGCTTAAGGGCGCCCGAGCATTATAACCTAATTATTCCCTATGAATTAGAATACTTTTTATCATTAAAAAAATACATAAAAAATAAAAATAACATACAAACATAACAAATATAATGTAAATAAAAAGTGTTAGGACTTATAAGTGCTTTTTTTTCTGCAAGATGTCATTAGTAAGTATTTAAAAAAAATTAAATCAACTTTAATTTTCTGTATTTGTATGTTAGATGTACTGCTGGTTTATTGTAATTAGTTTAATAATAAAATTTCAGAAATACCTTAAAACAAACAGGAAAATTAACACTGTGGATTTAGCCAGCATTTTGTGTAACGTAATCTAACGTAACGTAATTTAATTTAAAAGCCATGCTAAATCAACCTTAACTATCGAACACATACTGCTATCACCAAACACACAACACATAGAAGTGCCACTCTTGAATAAACGCGAAAACACCCAAGTCCTTCCGGTAGCAGTTTCCTCTAGTATCGCGTACCCGCTGGGGTGAGCAGCACATCACAGCGGGTACCCGATGCAAGAGGAATCCGTGTGCTTGGAGCATACTGGGGTTTTGAAATAGTTTAAAGAGTGCTAAAGATATGTTTATACAGGGTAAAGTTTACAAATTAAATTATCTTTTAAGTTTTTGTTTGCAGTTTAACGTTAAGATTTATTATTATTTGTTAGTTATACAGTATAATAAAATATCTTATTCTACTTCAAGTGCCCTCGTAATCAAGCATGGTGATATAACACCTGATTAATTTTATCTGAAATACATTTATGTATTTGGCATAAAAACAGAAGTGAATTTGCGGCACGCTTTTTTGTCGGCTTTACACCTCGTTATTACAAAGGAAGCTAAATTTTTATAAAATAATAAAAACAGTAAATAATATTCTGTTATTACAATTGTATATTGTTTATTTGTTTTATTTTTGGAAAAAATAAACATTTTGGTAACAATTTTTATTTTTTTTAAGTTGCTTGGGGACAAGGCGCCTATTTCTACGTGGCGCCTAAGGCAATTGCCTTGCCTGCCTAATGGGTAATATGGCCCTGGGTACGTCCTTGTTTGAGGTTACTATTCAAGTTTTACACAAAAAAATTATTACTATATTCTTTCATCCAAAAGTTTACAGCATCAACTTTAGAAGCCAACTTGGTCTCATGAAGTTATAAAAGGTTTTCTATTAAATTTTTGATTGACATTTTGTTTGAGTTAAAAATCTAATTTTTTGTAAAATTTTTGTATATGAACAAATACTTTATTATCATAAAAAAACGCACCTGTTACAATAGAAATACCCTTTTTTAGATTATAATAATTTTTTGGTGGATAAAAACATCCTCTTCACTTTCAATGTAAAAAACTGCTTCTATATCGTTTTTAAACGGTTGTTAGTCCATTTTTAATGGAGAAATTTCGATTTTTACACGAACTTTAGTATAATAAAATGTAAAAAAACTATAGTACGCATCTCGTTTTTTTTAAATTTAAAACTTATACTCACTTGGGCAAGGACATAAGATACTGCAGCAGCCGACGGTAGTCCTCCGGTTTGGCGCGCTCGCGACGCGGGTTGGCGGGAAACGAGAGGACGGGACCGCCGCGACGGTCCCTGCCCCCGCTCAGTATCACAAGCCGCTCCTGCAGCAGGGGCATCAGTTCCAAGGCCCTTTGTCCGTCCATCGTTTGAGCTACTGAAACAAAGGAAATATAAGAAATTGTTTCATTAATTTTTAACTAATTCTTTCCTTGAAAGAGGTTAAATATAGAAAACCTCATAAAACGTTTTTGTATTAACCAATCACTTTTTAACATAATATCAATATCAATTTAGTTCAATCAATACCATGCGATTATAAGGTTTTATTTACACAAACCCGATACGTTTACGAAGGCGAAAAGAAAAACTACTAAAACCGTCGAGCCACATTTCGACGATTTATCAAGTAAAAGAACTACCCGGAAAGATACTTTTAACCGGATTGCCTAGACCCTTAAAAAGTTTATCTGCATGAAACCAACAGCAGTGTAAAATCTAAAAAAATAAACTAATTTACATTATTTAATAACGGAATTATGAAATATTAATAAACATCGAGATGAAGTCAAACAAAAAAGGTATAAGTAATTTCCTTACAAAGTTATAATATATTCGCAAAGTCCTAGTTTTAAGGAATTCAAATTAGTTTTAAAAGAGCAAGAAATATTTGCATAATGCATAATGTAAATTAATATTGCTGCCAACCAGTGTTATCTTTAATATTTTTTTATAAATTTCCTCTACATTGTTGCCGTTTATTCAACGCACGCACAAATTTACGAGGTGTCTTTTAGTGCTGTTGAGAGTAGTTCGCTCAGATTCTCAGTGATGAGGGAAAACAGGCGTTTTATGCAGTCGCAGAACTAGGGGAGGAAATACGATAAATGAGTCATAAATTTCCGACATCAACCATAGGCAAGTGCCCTTTGTGCTGTCGTTCTGTATGTCTGTGACAGGGTGCCTCAGGGAATTGAAGGGATGTATGTCAAAGTCAAATTATATAAAGTGTAATATTTTTTATTTTGATAAGGGGTACCAAAATTGGGTCAAAAGATTTGCTTTGTTTTAGTGTATTTTTGCAAATTATACTGAAAAAAAAAGATTTCTTATGTTTAGAACACCTATCATCTTGAAAATATTTTTTTCATTCAAGTCAACTTGCTGTAAAAATTAGAATATATATTTCAAGTAAAAATATTTAACTTCTTTAAAAAAGAATTTTGTAGTTTTGAAAATATTCTATTATTAAGAAACATTTCTTGTTTTAAAAAGTTGCATGTTTTAATCCAAATATTAAATATTCTTGAAGGAAATCCAAGTTGGTTTCTTGGTACAATTGTTAATATTTTTTTATATCAAGAATATCCTTATTTTTTTATTTTAATTAATTTTAATTTTCTTATAATTAGAATTAGATATTCTTAAATTTTTTTATTCGTTTTAATAAACAGAATTTTCTTTTGCCAAGAATACATATTTTTGAAATCGTGTAGGAGTGGAAATGTTATGCATAATAATTCAGTGTTTCTTTCTCTTTGTGAGGGAGAGTAATGAAATATTAAAAAATTATTAGAAAAGTGGTCAGCATCAAAGGAAATTATAAAAAAAATTATGTAAATGTTTAACAACTGTTGCTATTGATATATCACCCTTTTTTAAATTTAGCGTCGCATTTACGTGTAGGTAGGTAGGTTTATTCCTTAAATATTTACTAAAATGCATTAAGGATGCCTTAAAATTATTTTTTTTATAAATAAATAGGCTTTGCAGTGATAACCAAAATATCTTATGTGTTTAACACTCTGATTTGTATGGCTCTATAATTTTAAGTTATTAAACTTAATTTATTTTATGACATTTAAGTAGAAGTAATTTTGTTACTTTTGTGGAGTTCATTGGTAATTCCTTTTCTACCATGCCTAAAATATTACAAATTATTTAAAATGAAAAATATGTCGAAAATAATGATTAAGTTCCCTACGTTAATTAATAATGTATAAATTTTAGATTTTTCTTGTATTAAAAACAAAATAAATATGTTTGTTCAACGTTTGTTTTTTTATTTTCTAACCTAAATTTCTTTTGCATACTGCACCACCTAGAAACGATACAACGTATACTTTGGCCCTTCAGTAAGTTTGGCTCAATTTTGAATAATCCGTAAGTATTTAAATATAAAGTTTTGTTTAAGATTAGACAATAATCCTTAAAAAATTACAGGATATTTAAAATTACTCCAGTCCCCTTCAAGTGTTTAGACTAATTTTTATTTAAATTTTATTTCTTTTGCAGTAATATTCCTAAAAATAAAGATGTTTTAATTATTAAAATTTATAATTTTTAAATTTTTTTGAAACATTGATAAAAGTAGCTTAAAATTAAGATAGACACATTTTATTTTTAACAATACTTCTTGCATTGTTTTAAAATAAATATAATTTTTTAATCAATGAAATAAAATTTTAAATCTTGTATCTATTAATTAAAAAAAATATTGGGTTATAAAAAACATCTTGATTTAAGAAAATTATTACCTCATTTCAATATCACATGAATCAAGAAAATTTATTCTTGAATTAAGTAAATATTGCTGCCTTACTTCAAAAATTATATATTCTTGCTTTTAAACAATCAAAGTTTTATTTAAAGAAATTTAATTTTCTTACATTAAGAAAAGAGTCTTGAAGTAAATCAACGTGAATTAAGAAAATACTATCTTAAAGAATATATTCTCTTCGTTATATGAGACAAAGATTGTTTTGAATCAAATAAATTTATTTGATAGAAGAATATTTTTTTTCAGTGCAAATAATATATCGTATACAAAGGTATAATTTGTAATGTTAAACTGTTTTCTAGACAGCAAATTTAAACAGAAAATGGATCTACGAAGTAATTTGATCAAGTTTCGCTTTACAAAAATTACCATAGTAGGTAGTTTCTACAAAACCTATTTGCATTTATCTCGATTAAAATCCTACTGACGGCTAATACGGGTATAAAAATTATAATTTAATGCAAAAGTTTACAATCTTTTTAGAAATTAATTTATGCAGTTATATAACTGCATCGAAATAGATCGATTTTTGTTTATTTTTATTTTTACATTTATTTTGTATTTTTTTGGTAATTAATTTTATTCTAATAAGTGGGGTTTGGTAAACATCAATTCAGCGTGGAATGTAATGACAAAATAAAAAACTAAACTTTTTATTTTAAAATTAATTAAAAATTTAAAAACTCTTATTCAATCTTATAAGTTTGTCCCATGTTTACTTAATTTATCTAAATTAGCAGGTTGTGTTTTAAACACCCGGTTTTTTTATGTTCCCATAGGAAAAAAAGTCTAGAGATGTTGGATCTGGTGATCTTGCTGCTCTTATGACATGAGTTCTTTATACTCTTTTATCTATTTTGCAAAAATTCTTTAAAAAAATAATAATATTATACCTTTAATTTAATTTGGTCGAATTTTATTTTAGCTAGTTGGTATCACAGTCATTGGTTTGATAGTTAATGTCAAAATAGATTCGCCATGCCGTCCTTAATTTACTTATTTACAATAAGAGGCTGTTAATGTTAAAGAAGAAAAAAGGATTTTCTTTGGTGTTAAATAAAATTTATTGCCAGAAAAGTACTAGAAAAATCATAAAAATATTATAACCAATATGCAAAATATTATGCTGTTTAAAGTATAGCCATCCTATAAAATCAAAATTTTGGGTGGGATAAAGTATCTCATTACAGCACCGAAAGCGGTGTTATAATGAAGTCATTATGAACGCAAAATAGATAATAGTAGTTTGATAAACGCCATTTTATACACGAATTTAATTTAGACACGAGCGAGCTTGCGAGCGATTGCTTAGGTTAATGAGTGTATAGAAAAGTTTATAAACGAGGTGCATACTATACTTTTTCTACGACAAATACTTATTATTATCTTAAAATGATTTAAATCAAAAATTTGTATAGAGCGCCGTCTATGAAACAACAGGGGAAACTGTCAAATGTCACATTTTTACATTTTATAAACACAATTATAAAGGTTATAAATCGAAATGTATCTTGAAAATTGACAGTTTTTTCACAGTAAAAGTAAAGGAAATGTTTTATGAGGACATTACAGTAGAGTCCGTGCCCGAATTTAAGTTATAGTTATAGAAACTATTTAATATTATTGTATTTTTGTATTGAGATAATAAAATAATTTTCACATTAAGTATTATTTTACAAGAAAGGCAATTTATTTTAACGATTGTATGACATTTAACAACTGTCAACTAACTTAAAACTAACTTCAGCCCGTGACTAAAGCGTCATGGAAACATGTACGATAAAGGGCGTTTTAAAGGTGGGAGTAGAAAAAATATTCTGTTACATCATTGTTAGGTTGGGTTCTACTTACATGATGACATTTTAGCTTTATATCTGTATATATACAGTATACAGTTATTTTAATAGTATACTATAGATAATAATTTGACGTTTGAACTAGTATAAATATATAGACTTATGAGTCTTATAATATGCAAGTGACGGAAAAATGTAAAAAGTTTATTTAAACAAAGTTCATAAGTTTTATTTGGTTTAGAAAACCTATAGGTTTTCTTTTTATAAATACAATTAAGAATTTAGGCAATCCTGTTTAGGCAATATCATTAACAAGTCAGTGAAATGTTAAGCATAACTAAAAGCTAGGGTCTGTCCGTACAAAGTAGATTTTGTAATGGAATTATTTTCTTCAAAGGGCCCTCGCTTTTGTTATGATTCCTAAGCACAGGATTATCCTGTGGGCAATAAAATTATAACTACGTAACCTTTCAATGTATTTTTAAGATTTTTGTAACAAAATTTAACGTCTGAAACATACCACCTCGTCAATAAAAATATCTTAAAGCATGTCAACTTATAGGCATTTAGTATTTTTAATAACCCTATCGTGTTCCACGCATACCACCTGACATGTAGGGGGCACAATTGTTCCCAACATAAAATCCTAATCAATTTCAAGCAGAAAAATTAAAGACTTAAAAGTCGCGTGCCGAGATATTTATACGTTTTATATTTATTTTTTATTTCTTTCCTTACAAGTAGCTAAGAATAATTTACGGGTTCACGTTCGATGCATGCAACAATGGCACAAGAAACACG